ACGAGCCATAGGAACGTTTCACTTTCTGGATTCCCTTGTATGCATGAATCGCCTTCCATACCGGGTCTTGAGTATTGTAGCTTGGTCCTAATTTTTTTTTCATATGCGGTTTTAATGGAGAACTGGCAATCTTCTCTTTTTGTCCATCCAATACCATAGTTTTTTGCTGCTGGGTGGGTCCTTTGATTGCTGCCAATCGCAGGAGTATTTGTAATGGCAATAGATGTTCAAACTGCCTCCATTTCCAATTTCCTGCTTCATCGGCCATGCTTGCTATGGTCGTTTTCTCCGCCTGTTCGTGGTCACGTTGATTGACAAAGTTTATCAACGGACCTATCTCTAGGATCCAGTGGTCCCTCCAAAATTCGGTATGCAACTCGTTTCCTATTACTCGGGTTGTGTTGCTTCAAACATCCTCCCATACGACGTTTACCCCTTTCTATAGTTTAGAGCAGTTTTGGGTTCAGATGCTTGTCGGTACCTCGTCTTGATATTTGTGTTTCGCCCTGAGAAACCGAACACATAGTGCATCTTTCTTGACTAATAGGTTAAAAGCCACTTTCATTATAAATGTTTCGTTATGCTCATTTATCTTTCTAAATTCATGACCTCCACTTGATACTTTTTGACATACTTCCTTCATTTTATTAAAGGTATTCCTCATTTTCCATCTATTTAACCCCATTCGAATTGTCTGATGATCCTTTTCAATTTTCCGCAAATCTTCTTAAGTAATACCGTTGTTTGCATGGTGTATGTTGGGATGGCTGCCAAGACACCTTTGGCAAGCCTGATTCGACCAGCCAGCAATAATGTTTTTGCCTTCCACCCACTTAATTTAGTTTAGACCATTTTCATTAAGTAATACTAGGATGCCGAAGTAGCAATAATCTATTTATTTGGTTTGATATTATAGAAAGTAACTAAATTGGTAAAAAAAATATTAAATTATTAAATTATTTTGGATTAAGATTAAATTGGTAGAATATATAAATTTTATGAATAAAACTTGTTATTATATCCAAGACTATTGGTGAATTTATCTAAAGATTGCATTTGATTTTTTTAATTTTGAAAATATTTTACAGTCATTTTTATTTTTCAATCTTTTGCATTTGTTACAGTAAAAATAAAGTCAGTCTAATTACATACCGACTTCATTGTTCATTTTATTTTTTTAAATAAGAAAAATTCAAACATAGTGAAGTCAATCGAATTATATACGGACTTCATTGTTCATGCCCACTGCATGTCTGCACGCTTCAGCCCCGGCCCTTGCTCCCCAGCCCCAACCTGCACACCACACCACACCACACCACACCACACCTGTATGGAATACAGTTGAACCGTGAAGTTGGTATGTCTTCAGTGTTTGAATTTTTTATTTAAAAAAATGAAATTAACAGTAAAATCGGTTTATAATTACCTCAATTTCATTTTTATTGCAATAAATACAGTAGATTAAAAAAGTAAAAACGAATGTACAACATTTTCAAAAATAAAAAATCTAACTACAATATCAACGTAATTTCACCAAGAATATTAAACATTTATTTAAATTTTAACTTAAATAATTTATTTACAACAATATTTTAATTAAATAAGTAATTTATATTTATTTATAAAAATAATCTGTTTATAATCAAATGAACAATTGAGAGTTGAGTTGAGTTGTATTATATATATACACACGCGTCGGTTCTGGTAAGAAAACAGTGGCTGCTCTCATTTTTGGTGATACTTCTTTTTAGCTCAATTAAAAAAGTTACCCATGGAATCAAAGAGCAAGAATCTGTTTCTGGGTTTTGTTTTCTTAATTCTTAGCCGTATTCTTGATCTCAAGTGTCAAATCTTGGACTGGTGAGATTCATGATAGAGTTGTCTGTGATGTTTGTGCTGATTCCTCCATTGGTCCTGAAGGTCATGTTTTAGAAGGTTGTTCTCTACCTCATTTTCTCTCTACCCTTCCTTCGTGTAATTTATGATTGTAGTTGTTAGATTGCTTCAATTGTGTTTTTTAGCTGAATTTTGATGTGGGTTTTTGGTTGGAATTACTTCTCTTTCATTTGTCGGTAGGTTTATGGATTCTGGGCAGTACAAAGTTTTTACCTTTTTTTTATTAATGGTTGATTATATGCTAACTTGAAATGGACCAAGTAATTACTGTATTGGGTTAATACAATTTATGATTAGCTTGAGAAAAGAAATGCTCTAAAATTAACTTTTGATGGTGTGATTAGTCCACCGTGTCTTGCAATTTTACCTGTTCGAGTGGTTTTCTTGTGATTTTCTTTGCTTTGTTAAACTGCTTCTGTGGTTGGTGCTTGCTCAATACTTTTAATTGTGGCCATTTTTTATGCAAACAGCTATTATAATGTACAAGAAAGTATCTGAGCTGATTGCTCTAGTACGAATCCTTTCCGTGTAGAGTGCATCCTCCAAAAGTCTGTGTAAGCAGTTCTCTTAGTTATTGGCTTAAAACGCCGAATAGCGGTATATGTTCTTTCTTCTGTGGTGTGTGTGATGGCTGACAAGTAAGCTTTGTAGTTGATTTGTTGTTTAAGTTGGAGGAATTTGTCGGAGGATAGTTACGGTGTTCCAATGTGGTAAAAATGCAACAACAATGCCATCGACTAACCTTGGTCGAGACAATGCTTCCTTTTTTTGCTTGCTTGGTGAAGTGGCAAAAGAATGGAAGCTTGCTGAAACTCTCTTAACAAATTGGAAAATGTTTCTGAAGCTGTATGCTGTCGGTATAACTGTTCTTAAGGTTAATGGTCGTACTTTAGTGATGCTAGAATGAATCTTGAACTCTTCATTAATAGATGAAAGTGAACTATGTAAAAGCAAAATTGGCATGTGATCTTTATCGGTTGCATTCTTAGTCTACTTCCTCCCATTGTTCTTTTCTTTGTCTTAAGCTGGAAGCAATGCTTCCTCGCTTCAACACTTTAATTTCCATTATGGGTTGAATAACTATTATATATGTTTTGTGTTGTTTAAATCTTTCAAGTTGTAGTATGGCATTGATGCTTAACTGACATTTCAAACTGAGTCTTGAAGTATACGAATCATCAATGCGATTAATTGGTTTACCTTATATTTATGTAAAACAAATGCTTTCTTGCAGGTGCTGAGGTTGCTGTACTTTGCATTACGAAATCCGGAGAAGTAGTAAACTATCAAGGTTTTGCAAATGCTAAGGGGATATACACCGTGGCAGAAACAATGCCCAAGAGTGACCGATGGAATGCATGCTTGGCTCGACCAATCAGTAGCTTCCACGATCACTGCAGCCATCCAGGGGAACACAGCACCGGCATCAAGTTCACCTATAATCGCCCATCAGGTCATTTCCACACCGTCAGACCGTTCGTATATCAACCTTCTACTCCGTCCTTCTGCAGTGAAACTGTTAGCGAACAAGTATACTTTTAGTCGCAGTCATGGATGTCTTAACACAGATGCAAACAATCCTTTGCTCGCCATCACTTATATGTATTGTTAAGGCATATGTATTGTTAAAGACTATTTTTTTGGGAGTAAAAACGGAGATAGTTTTATTTCAACTAGGTGACTCAATTGATAAGTTCTAAAAGTTAAGTGTTAAATTGATAACCTTCTAAAAGAAGTTGTGACAGTTGCAAGGACTTTTGTTAGAGTGGCTAAATTGGTAGTACCTTAAAAGTTAGGCGATCATTTAGATGATTTACCCTTTCTTTTAGTTAAAGACATCTAATTATATTTTAATGAGATTTTGATTATATGATCTAATAATAATAAAACTATTTTATATAATAATTTTAATGTAAATAATTAATTGACGGTATTGTCAATTAGGGGTAGTTAGATTATCTTCAGCCATCATCTCTATTCTAAAACATCTCTATATCTACTCTAAAGATGAAACAATAATTCTTCTCTAGCACTATCTCTACATTACCACAAACTCTACTTTATTCACAATATTTAACTATTAGTATGTTTATTTATCTAATTTCAATGTATTTTTATCTATCTTACAATTTAATATACTTGAATTTATTATATTATGTTTAATTTTTATTTTATTGTGTAAAAATCACAATAAAAAACATAAAAGATATAATAAGAGAAAATAATGTAACAAAAAAAGGAAAAAATAACAAAATCAAAAAAATAACAAAAAATATATGTATCGCAACTACAGTGCAACCCCATATGTAGTCTATCACTATAGCTTTTCTCTACTCTAACGTTGAAAGTGGAGATAGGCTGGAGTTAAAATTATTCTCCAAAGTGGAGATTTTCTATACTCTAGCGATGCGTTGGAGATGGTTTTAAACAATTAGTTTGATTAATAATCGAATTGGATTATTTAAAATTGAATTATTTAAATTTAAAAAAATTAATCTTTTAATTAAAATAATTTTTCAAAAATTATTAACCTAGTTCAATTAATCAAAGTTTGTTAATTCAATTGGTTTTTGAATTAACTAAAAAATTAATATTTTTTTAGTTTTGATTCAAATAACAATTCAAGTAATAATAAAATGAAAATGAGTGTTTTTCTATTAGATATTTTTATTTGTTCTCTTTCGGGTTGGACTTAATATTGAAATTAAAATATAAATATTGAATTTTAAATATCATGAGTCATTGGTGAGATTTGAGCAAAAAATTAAAAATATATTATTATATATTACGATTTCGGTTTGTTTGATTAAGTAATTTAAATTTAAAATGAAAATTTGATTTATTTGTTCAAATTTTTCATTTTACAGATACAACTATTCGAAATCAAACAATATAAAAATAAAACATTTTTATTAATAAAATCATTTAATATATTTAATAATAAAATTGCTAATTATTATTGATTATAAAAATTTAATAATCAAATCATAACAAATTATAGTAATTGAATTTTAATTTTTTTTTGTATAGTTGAATTTTAAATTTCGGCATAATAATAAGGTACTAAAATCGTAATTAGACCACTAGAAATCATAAGTTTCACCGAGTCCAGAGAGAAGCAGAGAAGGGAAAGAAGAAACAGATCACACTTTTGAAGAAAATGAGAAGACGACCTGGAATTGGAGGCCTTCAAACAGCTGCAGCTGCTAGGGTTTGTTTTGGAAAATCAATTTAATATTAAATACGATTATCCAAATCAATCTCAGTTGCAGCCAATCAATTCTACCTGTAATTGATTGTGTAATTTTATTTTTTGTTTTAATTTCAGGATCAGTATCGAGTATTGGGGGGAAATGTAGCCAAGTTAAGAACCGATCTTATGAAAGAACAGCTCACCACTTTTCGTTCTCAACTCGAAGAATTCGCTCGAAAACACAAGGTAAACAAAGTTCATTTTTCAAAATTTTCATGAGTTTCAATGATTCTAGTTTTTTTTCTTTCTAATTCCTATATATATATATTTTTGCAGAATGATATTCGTAAAAATCCATCTTTCAGGTCACAATTTCACGAGATGTGTGCTAAAGTAGGAGTTGATCCTTTGGCTTCAAATAAGGGATTCTGGGCTGAGCTTTTAGGGATTGGTGATTTCTATTACGAACTTGGTATAAAAAACCATCCCTTTTTAGAAAGAAAATTAATTGGAGAATTTCCTGTTGTTTTCAGGTTCTTTAATTTCCGTTTTGTAGTTTAAACTGATTTCACTTCATCTTTATGCTTTTCCTTCTGTGTATATTTATCCATTTTTGTTTAAAAGTTGAATTTATTGAGTTATGAATAATCCACCTGTTTGTCATGAGGATTTTGTTAAAATCTTACTTCTTGGTAGGATGCTTATAAAGAGGTTTTGATACTTGGCTGGACAGGAGTGCAAATTGTTGAGATATGCTTGGCTACTAGACTCCTAAATGGAGGCTTAATCGACCTGCAGGAACTCTGCAAATTGCTTCGTCAGAAACGAAAACATGATCGTGAAGCTGTATCCGAGGATGATTGTTTGCGTGCTATTAGTAAGCTGAAGGTATGGTAGTACACAGGCAGTTCATCTTTGTTTTATACTGATTATTGAATGAGTTTTCCAGCATTCTCGTGTTCCCTTTTTCCCTTTTCATCTCAGGACGAGAGGGAGAGCTTGAGAAGGCAGATTAGTTTTCCTTCATTTTGAGTAACATTTTTTATGAGTAGTTGTTGAATTGTATTGCTGCTTACTGGTCTGACATCTGCATGGTCTATAATGGAGTTGTCTTATACAACTTATATGAGTTTATATGATGCCATTTTTAAATGCATCTACTGCTTTAATTCTCTAGACATTGGGTAGTGGGTTTGAGGTGATATCTGCTGGAAAGAAAAAGCTTGTTCGATCTGTTCCAACTGAGTTGAATAAAGATCATAATGAGATTCTGGAGCTGGCACAGGTTAGTGATACTCCAATTCTGGTATAAAACAAGTACTTATGCAAATAATTGCTTAATTGATGTTCTACTTGTTTCTCTCTCAGTCTCAAGGCTATGTGACCGTTGATGAGGTAGAGAGACGGCTTAACTGGACATATGGACGTGCTATTGATGCCCTTGATACTTTATTAGACGTAAGTTTTTGCAAAAACAGTCATGTTTATCATCTTTCTGTGACATTTAGATTTATAGGGTTCACAAAACTCCTTTTGATTGATGCAGGAAGGTCTTGCAATGATTGATGATGGTCATAGAGATGGAAACCGCCGTTATTGGTTCCCCTGTGTATCTTCCATCTCCTCATTTGTGGCTGATAGTTAACACTATTCCGTTCCGTCTTCCCCCCCCCCCTTTTCCCAAATTTGAGTGTGTTGCAACTTTCCAGCTGTTTATGTTTGAATTTTGACAAAAAATATGATAAATGGCAATTCTATCTGCAAAATCTTATTATTTCTTGAAGTATTTTCTAATAATGTATGCTCTTGCAGCAGAAACCCACGAGTATATACATCAAAGCCTGAACTCCACAAAAAACAAATCATTGTCATATGTCATTTGAATGTTTGTTTATAATTTTCTTATTACAGAAATCGAGTAAAAAATCAATAAACTGTAACTTGAGATTGAGCTTCATCCATGTCTTCTATCCATTCAGCTCCAGGCTCACTCCAAGATCTGGGTCTTACCCCAAACTTAAAAAATATAATCATCTCTAATGCCTCAAAAACCTTGTTTTTGTCCAGAAACTCATTGCAGACTCCGCTCACGATGCAGTAGTTGCTGTTATATGGAGGTCTATGGTGTGCAGAATGTTGCTTTCGGGAGACGAGTACACTGGCATCTTGAAGCGCCACTACCAGCGGCGGGAGCTTGCTCTTGGTGCCATGAGACCAGGCATGAAATTGTTGGCTAAACATGATGCAACCAACACACATGGTAATGAATCCTTGAATAACTAGGTCATTGCAAAGAATATCTATAGGAAGCACTGTGAAAGTTATGCTACGAGCCAATGCATGCAAGTTGTTAGCAAACTGGCGCCTGGTGATAGTCCAGGGCCATTTGTGGTGCCCTTGGAATCCTTCAATTTGTGAACCGAAAACCGGAGTCGAGGCGCCACCGTAGTTGTCAATGCCCCAATGGTAAACCCCAGACAAAAGGTCAGCCAAAATATACCCAGCATAGCCTGCTACCATAGGTTCAAACCACATATGCGAATCTACTGCAGCCATTACAGTCTTGGCTAGGGAAAATAAAAGGGTGGTGCAACCGCTCGCCACCCATGCCCGGTGAGACCACGTTGATTGCAAGCTTGGATCATTTGGTGAAGGAGGACCAGCTGTAGGGATAACCGGAGTGACCGGATCCAGTTTAGTCTCGAGCTGTGGCTCAATGACCAACTGGTTCCGACTGGACCTAGGCTTGGTCGTGGAGGTGGCTGAACATGTCAGACGTGCAACAGGACTCAGCCGTGGGCTAGCCGGAACATGAGTTAGAGACCTTGACGGGCAGCCATGTTGATGCAAGATAGACATTGAAAGGGTTTGCCCAAGAGAAGCTAAAAGTTTAGGGTAATGAAAGGGCAGTATTTAATGGATGCTAAGAGCAAGAAGTAGTGGCTGTTGAGCAAAGGCGTTGGTCCAATGAAAGATTGTGTCGTAGAATCAACACTGTGATGTGGTGTGAAATGAGGCTGCGTGGGGCAATTGAAGTCGCTAATGTCTTTCATGTAAACTTGTGTGTTGCCTTTAGATTAAGTGAATCCCTGCCTGACACACAAATCCTTTGAAACCACTCCAAATGTTGAACTCTAGAAAACGCCATTGCTTTTATTTATTTTAAACTTGACTCTATCTTGATCCCGACTTTTTCGTTCGAAAAATTTGTTTTGAGTTTAATTTTTTGGAAAATAATCATACAAGATTAAATCGTTAATCGTTTGATTTTGAGTTGAAATGTGAGTTTTTTTTTTTAAAAAAAAGAATAAATATTGTTAATCAGTTTTTTTTTTATAAATATCAATTCAATTCATTGGCTAAGAATAGAGACGCAATTTGAGGTTGTAGTGAAAAAAATGGAATTGTCCTTTTTTTGGTCATTTGTTTACATTTGAAACTTCAACTGAAGCCTCCAAGTAGGCCAGAGATAGAGGAATCATAAGTATCCTCGAGCATATCCATACAACTTTACAAGATAAATATATTAACCAAAACCAATATTTACTCGAGATATGTATAAAAGTGTTACTAATTGTCATAACCATTTTTAGGTAAAATAATTAAATTATTATTTTTAAAAACATTTATGACTTTAATTTTAAAAATTGGGGTATTTTGGATTAATTTGGATTAAATTGAAGGGAGTCGCCATCGACTTTTGGATTAAGTAGGTCGAATACCTAAAAATGTTTTTAAAAACAATTTTAAGAAAATCATTTTTTAAGACAAAAATAACCTATGTCACCAAGGATTCCATTTGAATGGATTCGGGAGTCGTTTACGTGTGGGGAAGGGTTAGCACCCCACACCGCCCAAAATTGGTACTGTGTCGCTTACGTGTTGTCGTAAATGGTGGAACTGATGAATCGAATATAAAATTAAATTGTGATCCATTTATCGAACATTGATTAATTTGCTTCGAATTAAATTAATTACAGAAAATTCTTTAACTCGAAAAGAAATATCAAAATTAGTAATCCTCCATCGGAAAAGCTAACTCGACAATTTCTTGTCAATAAAAGAATATTCCCTCATTGATAAATATGCAAATCGAATATAAATAAAATTGTCGTTTGCATTCGAATAAAAGGAAATAAATAGTGAATTAAAAATAACACACATTGCATTATTAAAAAAATTAATTAGTAAAAAGAAAATAGATATATTTTAAGTTCGTATCTGTTTGAATGTCGTATTGGATTGTACCACTTCGATCAATTAGTACTTTCCACGCCCATTCTATAAATACGTATTCTTGAAATATTCGAAAAAACTTAATAGCGTATTTTTACATTTTTAGTATAAATATGCATAATATAAAACTAAAACATATCATATTCACATGCATAATGTACAGTAACTGCTTGTAATATAAACATAATTAATCGTGTATTGTATTATATATATATATATATATATACTTACACGTATACAAATGATCATTAAATCCTACCTTAACATATATATATAACATGATATATTAATTTTAATGTTAATAAAACAATGGAAATATCTAATTAATATGCAAAGAACTCACACACACAATATTCAATAATGTAATATAAAGTATAAATATGCCATAATATTAGTTCATAAAAAAAACAAAGATGAAGTAAATAAAATAAAATAAAATAAAACATAAATAAATAAACTCAACACAAGGATTAAAATACTAAACACATATTTAACACAAGGATCTAAACAACACTTATATAAATAACAAAGGGGCCAAACAAGCAAATAACCCCAAAATAAAACTGAATAGTGACTAAAACACACATCAGGAAGATCTCATGGACTAGATATGTAAATTTCCATTTCCACATAACAGATAAAGGACTAAAATATAATGAAAATAAAATAAACAGACATTAATCAAAATTTTACCTAAAATATGAGAGTAGTGATCAAAATAAAAGTTTCATAAATAAAGAGTACAATGTCTAAACTTTACAAAATATAGGACTTGAAGTACAAAACAAATAAAAATACACTAAGCCCTTAAACAAATTTACAAAACACGGGGACCCTTACAGTGTAATTAAACCATAGACTAAATAGTAACTAAAATAAAATGTATACAAATGTTAGAGCCAAATTCGAATAACCTCCAAAATACACAATACATCAAATCAGTGACTAAAATTGAAATAATGAAAACATATCATGCTTAAGAATAAATGAATGAAAATACCATGTCCTCAGCGTAAATATGCATAAAATATTTACAAGCTAACAAGTGCGGAATTGAAACATTTCAAAACAAGAGCTCGAATTAAAAGGAAATAAAGTTGTATTGATGATTAAAATAGGCGATTACAAAATAGAAAGGACCTTTAGGGTAATAAACCCACGCGTGAAAATGCTCCCAGGTCCTCCGTGAAACGGCGTCGTTTCAACACACATATATAAGGCCAAACCCAGGTCATTTCTCATTTGTTTCCTTTGCCCGAGTTTTGAAAGAGAGAGAAAGGAGAGCAAATTCTGGGAGCTTCAAACGAAGCCCAGAAAACGGTGGGGCTCAACCGCGTCGGTCGCCACTGATCGGCGGCCACCGCCGTACGCTGGCGTCGGGGAAGAGAGAGGAAGACACTAATCGACGTGTCTTCTCCCTGTGAAGGTGGGTCTGAGCTCGATTTGGCCTAAAAATGGCTCAAACGCCATAGATTTGTGAAGAAACCTCTTGGTTTCTTCGATTCCGACGACCCTTGGTTCACCGACAGTTCGAAAAAGGGTAAGAACTTTCTCTCTCTTTCAATTTCTTGTTTTTATTCCCAGTGTTTTTCCTCTCTCCCCTTTTTTTTATGATTTTTCTCTTTTTTTCTCGAAAATTCGGACAAAAACGGGTGTCTACACTAATATAATTACAATAATAACTACAATTATAATTACACAAGTTTAAGATTCATCGACTTAAACTGAATTCAAACTTAAATACTATATTGATATAATTTATATTTGTTCAAGTTATGTCTGATTCTAGTTATAGATCTTAAACGTTATTTAAACCTATTCATATTTACAGATGATTAACTTAAATCTATTTTAATTTTTAAGTTCACGCTTGTTATTTTTACATCTTTCTTAAATAAATATTCCTGATGAGTGTTTTGCGTGCTGATGGCTTTTTACAGCAGCCAACTTTACTGCCTGTGTCAAACGGCTAGCTTTTGGTTTTTCTATCGTGTATTCATATATATTTATGTTATTTTTAACTTTATATATTACTTTTAAAAACTTTGATCAAAGTTTTTAAACATAAATAACTTAATTTTTTATTTATAATATAATATCTTATTATAAATTTAATTTTTTATGTGAAATAAATTAAATAACAAATAAAAACTATAAAATAATATATAACAAACTTTAAAAACTAATTGGGTGGGCTAGACTTTGATTTTTTGATATCTAAGTTTGGGTCAATATTTGTGTTAGGGATGTAAATGAGAGAGACAGATCGTATGTTACTCGATATGATTCAGTCAAAGTTTGATAAATACTTGACTCGAGCTCAAGTTCTTAACGAGCCGAAACGAGCTACTTGATTCTCAACTCAAAAAACTCGTAAACAACTTAAAAAATAATAAATTATTATTTTTTATTAAAAAACAAATTATCAATAATATTAACATTTATGTCTTGATTAAAAAAAATACAATATAAGATTTTATTTATTTAAGATTTAAGTTCGACTTTGAGCTCAATTCAAGTTAAGTTTAATATTTTTTTTATTCGAGCTTTTCAAGTTTCAACTCATGTTTCAAATTCGAGTACAGTTTGAAAATTTTAGACTTATGAGTTTTCGAGTCGAGCCGAACTCTATTTTAGAATTTTTGAGTCGAGTTGAACTCAATAATATTCGAACTCGACTCGGCTCGTTTACAATCTTAATTAGAGTTAAGTCAGACTACATTTTAAACTGATCTATTTTTTATTTATTATTATCAAAACCTAATTTTTGGACCTAAAAGTTTTGTCCACAATTTCTCAAACTTCGGATGAGACTTCAAGCTTGAACCGGTAATCTAACTCCTGAATAATTCTAATTAAAGAGGAAAAATATATTATTATTATTACTTCTTAGAAGAATAAAAATATGATTTTCATTTAAATAAATATTATAATACTTTAAAAATAAATGTTTAAATTTTTGACAGGATTATTAGTATAATTGTCCCATTCAACCAACGGACCAAGTCTCTAATCTCTTATTTGATATAAATTTGTAGGTTTAGATTAGTTAGAAGAATTGTAGATCTAAATTTTCTATGTTGTTACTAAGAAATTTCACTTTTACAATCTATTTAATCGCACATATAATATTAACGCACGATAAAACTTAAATATAAAAGTTTAAAATGGATAAAATTTTCATTTTATCATCTTGTTTTTTTACAAATGTTTTAAAATATTTAAACATAGTATATATATTAAATAAAACATATTATAATATTATATTAAGTGTGTTTAAACATATCACATAATATTAAATATTATATATATATATATTCATATTTCTTCCTTCAAAGATTCAGCCACTTGTTTATTTTACCATTTACTTATTTTACCAGAATATATTTAATTATAAAATATATATTTTATTTGGTTTTTAATTAAATAAATATAAAATTATATTTTATCATTTTATTATTTTTTAAATAAAAATATATTAAATCATTTTCTAAAATCAGATCTCGATTGCAATGATAAACTGGTGGTATCCCCACTGTTTAAATGAAGTAAAAAAACCAGAAGTTTCCTCCTTTCTTTCTCTTTTCATTTCACTTTGGTTATTATTATTATTATTTGTTACAATTTTATTATTATTTTTACTTATTTCAAATATAATTCTAATTTCAACTTATGGATATAACTTTTTGATAATTTTAAAAATATTATTTTCACTCTAATTTATATGTTTTTCAAAGATTACATATAAATTAAGAAAACAATAAATTAATATAATAAAAATAACTCATTTCCAACATGATTTTGAAGTTTTGTTGATAATTTATTTTACTATAATTTAAATGTGATTTATATAAAATAATTACAAACATTTATTAATTTAAAAGTCAATTTGAAGGGTCAAAATCAGATAAAAATCAAAGTTATTTATTTGCTATAAACAACGTATTTTAAGTATATTTAAAATAATATTGTATGCCAATTTAATTAATTATTGAAAAAAAGAAAAGGAAAAAGAACAAATCATCAGTATTTTTCTTGTTGAGTTATGGATAGAATGGAGTAACATAAAGCCATTTTCATTGTCTTTTTTAGTCACAAATTTGAAAAAAGAAATTTCTAAATGACAACATTTATACAAAAAAACCAAAATTAATTACAGTGAAAAAAATATCTTATGTTTGGTTTTTCTTTTTGGTTTTGTCATAAGAAGAAAACTACAGCTAAAACTAGTGTTTCTTATTATTCTTCGATCTCGTAATCATGGCTTCTTCTTCTTTTCTTCGGTGTTGCTTGCTACTTTGCTTCTTTTTCTTCTCATATGTCCAAGCGGTGAAAACACCGTTTCACCCACGGGATGTTCTCCCTTTATTGCCTAGACAGGTTTCATGGCCGATCCTCAACTCACTTAACAGTGCTGTTGACCTTTTGCCAACTTTTGTCGGCTCAGTTTCGTCCCGAAACCACATCGTAAGCTGGAAAGGTCCGTGCTTTTATGAGAACACGGCTTGGATGGAGTTCCATAACAAGAGTGGCAGTGAGTTCGGTGGTGGAACTCTCCATATCAAGGTAACACCTTTGCCCTTTTCTCTTTGATGTTTTGGAGTGTTTTTCTACTCTGGGTATTGCTTTGTTCGGGTTGAAAGTGCTTAAATTCTTAATTTCTTCCAAGTTTTTGAAGTTTTATTGTTTCTGGGTATTGCTTGGTTTGAGCAGAAAGTGCTTAAATTCTTAATTTCTTCCAATTTTTCCGAAGTGTTCTTGTTTCTGGGCATTGCTTGGTTTGAGCTGAAAGTGCTTAAACTTAGTTATCCAATTTGGGGATTTGATTTAATTTGTTTCTGCTTTTCCTTGTTCAACAGTCACATATGCAAATGCAACAACTACCAGAGGATATTTATTGATAGATTTTGTAACATAGAATATTTGCATAACTCAGGCCTAAAATGGTGCAAAATGTTTATTATGGTAGAATTGGTTGAGTTCTTCATCACAAAATGATGTGAAATTGATGTCTATTTGCTAATCCAGGTTGGCAAAGCCCATAGTTGGACTTGTATGGATCTTTATGTCTTCGCAACTCCGTATCGCGTAACCTGGGATTATTATTTTCTATCTCGGGAGCATACACTCGAAATCAAAGAGTGGGAAGAAAGAGCCGAGTATGAATATGTATGTTGCCTTTCCCGGTCATGTATCTTTACTACAAACTTGTTCATGGTTTTAATGGTATTGGCACATTTTTTAATTAGGTGAAAAACAAGGGGATTTCTATTTTCCTGATGCAAGCAGGGATGCTTGGAACACTCCAAGCTCTTTGGGAGGTCTTCCCTTTATTTACTAACACTGGATGGGGTGAGAATGCCAATCTCAGGTTTCTTGAAAAACACATGGGGGCTACTTTCGAACCACGACCTCGGCCCTGGACCACAAACATTAGTGTCGATGATATACACTCGGGAGATTTAATGGTACTATCGAAAATTCGTGGGCGATGGGGTGGTTTTGAGACTCTTGAGAAGTGGGTTACTGGATCTTATGCTGGTCATAGTGCCGTTTTCTTAAAGGATTCTGAAGGGAAGCTGTGGGTTGGTGAATCAGGACATGAAAATGAGGAGGTAATGTTAAAACCCTTAGTTCAAAATCGAGTAAAGTTGTGTAAATACATTGTTTTATTGGACTATGCTTTATGTTCTTGTAAATATATTATCTCTTTGTTTTTTCTACACTTGGAATAAGTTTCATATTGTTGGAAAATATTTCTTTCTTTCGCTGTCGTGACTGTGTAGTAAGATATCATACAGGACTATTTATCACATTATTCTACAGACACTTATTAATGATGCTCAGTTATTATTTTTATCTGTCCTGGGATGTAGGGAGAAGATATCATTGCCGTTATTCCATGGGAAGAATGGTGGGATTTCGAGATGAATAAGGATGATTCTAATCCCCATATTGCATTGCTTCCTCTGCATCCTGATGTTCGAGCCAAGTTTAATGAGACCGCTGCTTGGGAGTATGCACTAAGCATGGCAGGCAAACCATATGGCTATCATAACATGCTATTCAGCTGGATAGACACCATAGATGGGAATTATCCTCCTCCGTTGGATGCTCACCTGGTATTTAGATATTTACATTGAACGCCTTACGTTAAGGTTGTAGTGTATGCTGATAAGTTTCCGCCTCTTCTTCTTTCCCCTTTCTCGGTTTCTCTCCATGTACATTTTTATACTATGTTGCAGTGGATATTTTGTTGGTCTCGTTCTTCCTCTTTTTCTTGCATTCTTTGTCACTGTATTTACAAATAACAATGCTGTCGATGCATATGACACTTCCCCTCTCTGTTTCCGTCTCTCACTTTGTAAAATTTCCAGTAAATAGGTTTTGAATGTTTCCCTTCGACTATACAGGTAGCTTCTGCTATGACAGTTTGGAGTAATATGCAGCCTGAATATGCTGCTAACTTGTGGAACGAGGGCTTAAACAAGCGGCTTGGAACTCAGGTATGGTATATCTTTCGCGATTGTTTGAATTATTGTGGAATGTTCACATAAAATATAATCTGAATTGTTTGATATTTATGTCTTGAAGGTAACATGCAACTTGCTTAATTGCATGCATGTGGTTTTTCCCCTTTTTTAAATCTCAGTAACAATTTTGAGAGCTTAGCCTAGATGCTTCGAAAACTGATAAGATTTAAAGCACTTTGGTCTTCAAAAATATTGGATGTATATATGTATATATATTTTGCACTTGTGCTAAAGATAAAACCAATGTGTAATGCATTATCGTTTCTTTGTTTGAATGATGGTCTTCATCGGCAGGGTCTTAATCTTTCTGATGTATTGGTGGAAATAGAGAAGCGTGGATCATCTTTTGATCAATTTCTGACTGTTCCTGAACAAGATGATTGGATATATAGTGATGGGAAGTCAACCTCGTGCATTGCTTTCATCCTCGAAATGTACAAGGAGGCAGGACTTTTTGATCCTATTGCCGACTCTATTCAAGTTACTGAGTTCACGGTGAGCTTATTTTGAGTAAAATCTATCTAAGATCGAAGGGTTTCTCTTCCGAAATACAAATCTTTCATGCATTCGTGCTCCAATACTATATCTGAGTCATTTTGTTTGAATTAATACCGGAACACAGATCAAAGATGCTTATACTCTAAGGTTTTTTGAGAATGATTCAAGCCGGCTGCCAAAGTGGTGCAATGATGCGGATGATGTAAAGCTTCCTTATTGTCAGATTCTGGGGAAGTATCGAATGGAACTACCCGGATATAATTCCTTGGATCCGTACCCCCATATGAATGAACGGTGTCCTTCTAAGCCACCAAAGTACTTCAGGCCACAAAACTGCTAGATAGTCATGCTTCTGCCATTTATTGTTATGCCAGTGTTCAATCACTACTTTTAGTTCATCAATTGTACTTCAGGTCATATGCAATATGCCACAAGAAATCGTGTATCGGTATCGGTTGTAAATATAGTAACCAGACTAGGAGTTGACAGATTTCAGGCATTGAATTGTTTTATATGATAGAAAATGGAGCATTGATGCTGATAGAACCATGAAAACCATTCTTTTAGTCAAGTAATAGTTTTATATATAGAGATGTGATGTCTGCTTGTTTAATGGCATACATTTTATTCGTGTATTTTCCGAAAAACTAGTCTTAACTGCTTCGCGAGCTCGGGTTTGCTGTTTTTTCTACATAGTCGGGAAACATTTTCAGTAATGAATCAAAGTATATGCAACAGAAATCTTGCAAGTTTCTTTGAAACAGGTGACCAGGAATCTAAAATATCATATCAGTTTCCTAGGACTGATTTGAACAGGTAATCCTTTAGCCGGGACGGACATTGGATCCCTGCTGAAAGAGTTGTCTGAACATAGTAGCTTCCATGTAAACCGAGTAACCAGATAATGAATCGAAACAAGGGTTTCAATCCTTGCAAATTCGTATCCGGGACATACTCGGGGTCCCGCTCCGAATGGAACGAAGCAGTAAGGTGGAAGTGAACCTGGATTCTCAAATCTATTTGGATCGAAATTTGATGGTTCTGGAGATATGGTATCATCCATTTGTGTCATGCCCGTAACCCAGAAAATCTTGATACAAACCAGTAAATTTAATCAGTGTGATACCATACAAGAGAAATGGCTAAATAAATGATGAAAGAAAATGGAATGGAATGTATGGTTCTACTTACCTGCCAGTTCTTCGGAATGAGATATCCGCCATACTCCATATCTTTTATGGCTTTCCGGATGCTACCAAAATTGGTGGGTAGAGTCTCAGAGAGTTTAGGGTTTATCATCGAAAATGTTATGAAGAAAATAATATTTTCGGTTGTAACTTGTGCAACCTAAAAGGTTATTCTGTATAAGTTAAAAAATTACATTCTTAATAAAAAAATTGGCTGCAACTGACTTCTGCTATTTTTCAATCTTATATTAAAAGGTTATGTTTTAGAATTTCTCATAACTCTCTTTCCAATAATATAAACCCATAGTAAAAAAATTGAAATAATTGTTATATAATTTTAGATTAAACGAGAATTGAAATTAATTATAATTATTTTATAATAATTTATTAATTATATCAAAAATTACAATTAATATATTAAATTTATCATATTGATTAAAATATATTTGTAACATAAATTATAAAATTAACGTATTAATTATAATTTATAACTGCGGTGACTAAGTTGATAGCGGCTTAAAAGTTTGATAACCATTGGGAGAGTTTATGCTAAATACAAAAATAGCCCAAACCCACTACAAGCCCAACAGCCACTTCTCTTACAAACCATGAAACCCATTAAACTCCAAGTATCCACGTGTCACCTTTACAGTCGTCTCTATATCAACCTAAATAAAACGTAAAATTCCCTCTGCTTCGAAGCCCAACAGATTGCGATTCCCCAGGTAAAATAATCTGGCGTTTAGTTCGTTGAAATATTTGTGAGGGAATTGAAATCTACGAAGGAATTAGAATCTGTCAGGAATTAAAATCTAATTTCATATTCTGTTTGGTTCGTTGATTTCAGTAATATAAAATAATAGAATTACCCTTTTTCTTTTTTACTTTATTTTAATTTATTTTACAACTTACATGTAGTAATATATTATAAAAATTTAGAAATATTAAAATTTCGTTTTATTGATTATTCATTTCAATAAATTATAAAAATCATGCTAATAAACATCATAAGTTAAAATCATCGCAATCAAAATATGTTAATAAGTTACCAAAAGATAGAACAATATTTCGATACATTCTAATTGGAGTATATTAATTAGTTACCCTAAACTATTTTTATTCAATATATAAATTAGAAACCCCGACACGACACGACACAAAATAAAAAAAAATATTTTTATTCAATAAAAACATTGACTTAATTGAAAAAAATTATATATAGAGGGGTATTATTGTAATTATTCTTAAATATATAAGGTAAAATTATATATTTTTCCGGGTTGGTCTGGTTTTTTTCACCCTAAACCCGAACCCGACCCGACTTGATCCGAATATCACACTTAAAAAACCCAACCCGAACAAAATAAAGTTTCACCTGACCCGACCCGAATATATGAATTAGAAATACGACCCGACTCGACTCGAAATAATAAAAAATTATTTTTATTCAATAAAAATAGTGATTTAATTGAAAATATATATAGAGAGAGTAGTATTATTGTAATTATTCTAAATATATAAAGAAAAAAATTTGTGCAAGAAAAAAAGGAAATACTTCATATCAAGTGAGGACAAAATGATGAGTGCCTTTCAAATTTACCCTTTACCCTTTACCTTTACCCTTTACCCTTTCCACCTTTCCTCTTTTCACCCTATTTAATGTCTTAGTGTTATAAGATAATCGTTACCGATTCCGTGAGTTTAATGTAATTAGTGATTTTGTTATTGAAGTTTATATACTGCTGTTGACTTCACCTGGTAGAGGCAAGCCTTGATTTAACCCAAAAGATTTTTATGGTTGCCAATGTTTCAGTGATATATGGCTGGCGTTTCTGCACTTTTGTTCTTCCCATGCTTATTTTGAAATGTGTTTTTATATTTGTATGATTTGTTTTTGAAACAGTCCAATTTGAGTTTAGAAGTGAGAATTCTATAACTGGAAATTTACTGTAGCTTTCATTGTTAACATGGAAATATTTACTTGTGGAAGATGTACTGTGTTAGTTTCAAATTTTTGTATCAATATGAGAACCTTAATTTCAGGGATAGCACATGCATGGCTTTTCCCGTTGTTTTGATCTCTTATTATCATTTATTCTACAGTAGTTTACATGTATTTGCAATTTGCAGCTGCTTACCAGAATACCCAAGGAAATCCTGGCGAGGGTGATCCGAATAATACCACAGTGGCTTGGACCCCAGTGTTTCTGAAGATGAACTAAAACAAATATTTTGCCAGCTTGGTGAGGTAGTTCATGTAAAAATTCCTGCTAACAAGCATTGTGGTTTTGTTCAGTATGCTAACAGGTAAACTGAAACAATTTCATATTCGTTTGGCACATGAAATATTATTGCATGGTATTAATGCTAACTGAAATATGATGCACTTCAGGGCCAGCGCTGAACAAGCTTTGTCCGTTTTGAATGGTACTGTTTTAGGAGGAAGAAATGTTAGGCTTTCATGGGGACGTAGTCCTTCGAGCAAACAGGTGGTGTTTTTAAAAACATAGTTTTCTGTACTTAAAGCCATGCTACATATAGTTCCGTAAACTAAAGAGGAAATGTATTGGAGTTTCAGGCTCAACCCGACCAGTCCCAATGGAACAGTGGATACTATGGACATCCTCAAGGATATGAAGCATATGGATACGCACCTCCTCCCCAAGATCCTAACATGTACTATGGGGGCTATCCCGGATACGACAATTACCAGAAGTCAGGAGCTTACCAACAACGACCACAGGTAAAAGAATCTTAAGCATGCTGTATTTCATCTTTAACTCTGTTACTTCTGGCGCTGCACCATTGCCTTTGACGATTTATACATGCATGCTTAATGTGTTCCTTTTTCTTTTGTATTTTGCAGTAAGCTGCGGTTGCTGCACCACAGCTCAAAACTCGTAATATCTGATCCAGGGCACTTTAGGTATTGGCTTGATGCATGACATGTTCATTGATTGCTGTATAATTTGTGGGTTTCGGGTTTTGGACAGGTTCATGTTTCTTCATCTTCCTTCTCTATGGCTTCACTTTTCTCAGCTTCTTTTCTTTTGCCCATCTTCCTTTTAAATCTATTGTAACTTGTATCCTTATACACTGTAGTAGTTCCCCCCCCCCAGACTGATGCTTTTTTAATTAATGGTTATTAACTTATTATTATGCTTATTATTAGATGTGTCGTTTTCGTTTTCAGTGAACCGTTTCAAGTTGATCGGAATTTGATTTTTCTATAAAATATTATGTATGTGCAAATATACTTCAATTATCTATAAATATCAAGTTCAATGGTTTATTTAAATGATGATATTTTATTTAATGTAATTACAAAAAATATTTATTAAAAAATCAAAAAATGGTTTGTAGTATTGAGGTTCTGTATTACCGGTATGAATTGTTATGTTTTGGTACAAATTGGTATCAATAGACGCGAACTAAATCATATTAAGATGATCTCAAAAGTCTGAAATTGAAATTTAAACAGATCTAAAATTAAAACGGCGAATGAATGTAAATTAAATGAATGAAGATTGTTATTATAGAAAGTGAGAATTGAGGATCCGAAAGATTTGTTGTGAGAATGATAAATTAATTTCATTAGGTAAAGGTTTATGAAGATGGTTTGATCTATCAACAATCATGTCTAGTGAGATGAAACATTAGATTTTTTAAATAAGGTTAATAGTTTGAATATTAGTGTTTACGAATGAAATAAACTAGGTTGAGAGAATTAATCTTATAATAGATCTATATAAAATCTAATCTATATTAGTTGATCAATAGATCGAATATTAGTGATTAATTCAAAAAAATGGTTAGAATCTATTTACGTAATAATGAATTAAACAGTCTATTTTTATTAGTAGAAATTAATATTTTATAAATTATAAAGGTTTATGAATACGATTAATTATTTTTATTTAAAAAATCAAAATTAGAATATATAATTGTATTTGAAAATTTCAATGTTTTATTTTACTCAATTAATTAATTGTTGATGATGTTCGAAAATATTTTGTTTTTGGTTGTTTCTGTACCGGGTTGTATATTTTTTTCCTATTCCCTTTATATTGAAAATTTGAGTTGTAAATAATAAAATACAATCAACAAACACAAGAATTACCGGGAAAAAAGATACAGAAAGAAAATTGGATTTTGTTTCCTTTTCTTTTCCAATTCGATCTATTCAATCAACCCACTGTTGGCTGCTAATTCTCATCTCTTTTTCTATACATACAGCTACAAAAGAATTCAATATATATACGTACATATAAATTTTAAAACTTCCAATTGAATCAACTCAAAAAACAGAGCTTCAAAGAGAGGAAAGCAGAGATGGGACTCAAAAACAGAGTAGAAGAAGATAGCTATTCAATGAACGAAGCTCTGCTGCTTGCTACCATGTCCATCATTGGTCTGCCAGTGGATGTGCATCTGAAAGATGGCTCTGTTTACTCTGGAACCTTCCACACTGCTTCGGTTGAGAAGGAATATGGTGCATTTTTGCCTTTTCATTTTCGGGATTTCTGTTGAAAACCAGTTTTGGGTTTTGATTTTTTTTATTGAAATTTGCATCTGGGTTTTGGGTTTTCTATTGAATTATTGTGATCTTGTTTGTAAATTGGATGAGATCGAATTGGTATATGTTTGATTTGAGCTGTTTTCTTCTTTTCTGTCTGTTTGGTTGGTTCGATTACCTTTTAAATGATTTTTAATCTTCTGTTTTTATTGTTTTCGTGCAAGTTTACAGTTTTAAAATAAGAATGGAATTAGGAATCAGATTGAAGGAGACATTTAAATCCAAGGCTATGGTATTTTTCTTACTTGGTTTTCGCTTTTAAAAGAAACAAGCATGTTTGATCAACTCTTACATGCAAGTCATTTGCTATTTTTGTTTATTAGTCTTTTAAGGAAGTAATAAGGGGAAAGGAGCAAAACCAATTATTCTAATACGGAAAATGGCTTGGTTAAAGGGACATCTTACCTTTCGAAATCCGATCAGTACCAAATGAAGTACTTGAGTCTTTTCTTTTTGGGGGGGAAATGTGCTTGTTGTCAAGACCAATCGTTGCTGTTAATTGGCAGTTTGTATATCTAATTCCTCTGTTGAATGCTTAGGATGATTATTTAATTAGTTTGTCTTTTATTAGGTATTGTTTTGAAGAAAGCAAAATTGACTAGAAAGGGTAGATGTGCCACCAATGTTGCAAATGGCAGTGTAGTAGAGACTCTTGTAATCCTCGCTGGTGATCTTGTTCAAGTTGTTGCTAAGGTATATAATCATTCTTAGTCTTTTATCGAGTCCCTGGAATTTTATTCAGCTCTGATGTAACAATTTTTTTTTTTTAAAGTAACTCTGATGTAACATTGAACAATCTGCTTGACATGAATTTTTGTTTGCATGTAGGGAGTCCCTCTTCCTTATGATGGTTTTGCTGGAAATACAGCTCATGTTAATGGAGAAGCTGCATTGAAATTCTCCCTTCTGCCAATCCACTGAATGAGAACAGGAAGTTCAATAAGTCTACCATGGATAAAAGTAATAAGAAAAGGTAGCTGATAGAAAATTGTGTTGATTGGATGGAGAGATTTTCATTTTATTCTTATTTCCTTTTGGCTTATTCATTTTATTTTACCTATCAAAGCAGTAATTCTGTCCAAAATGAGAGTGGTTTTGCTGATGGTTTTATACCCACAAAAGCTGGAAATGAACATGAGTGTCGAAAGTTGTTGCCGAAGTCTATGGGAAATACAAAGGAAGCTTCATATCAGACAAGAGATGGACAAACGTTGGAAAGGTAATCTAATTTTTAGTTTAGTGTTTATTTTTTGGGAAAAATGTGAAGCAGATGTCAAATAAATAATAGCAACTATTTTTTACCTTTTGATTGTAAAATGTGAGTTAGTAAAGGCCTTCTTGATGGTTATTAGTTTTGATTGGATGTCATTATTCCTGAAAGGTTTTTGAATTTCATGTGGAAGATCCAATCATATTGCTTGGGTCATCTGGTTGGCAGGATATTTCTTCAAGGAAACTGTAAAGTACAAGAATCTGTTTGATAAATAGCATATATTCTGTAGGAAAATATTGGCCGAGAGTTTTGTTGAATCTTTCATCTTTATCTCTCTCAAAAATCTTCATTTGAGTCTTCATGCAGGGTGAAGATGCTTCTGGTGCCACTATTGCTGAGAGGTAGAAACCCGGTTTTTCTTTTAGTTGTATACTTGTTGCTTAAGTTCCAAGTCATGTTATTAGCAGAAAACTTTTCTGGTTGAGAGATCTATGTTTAGACATGAACATGCACACATACAAAAACGAGAAAAAAGAAAAAAGATTAAGCTAAGTCCAAGTAATGGAGTTGGTCTGACCTGGTTGGGACTTGATTCTCTTGTCTTTTACTCATAAGATTCCCCAAAAGTAGAAAAAGTGTTCTATTCCACTTATCCAAATTGTTTTTCTCTTCTCTTCTCTTCTCTTCTCTTCTCTTCATAATGCTTTTAAACAAGGTCATGTAAAATTACATTAACATCTCTTACATCAGGTTAAAGGTTCAAAAGAGACTTGGTATCCATGATATAGAATGCTTCATGAAGCACATACTCATAAGAACATGTTTTGAACACCTTACCTCATGCTTCTGTAGGATGTTGATACCTTGGCTGTCATCATATACATTCCTATTCCATCCAGATGTGCAAAGCAGTTTTTCATGTATAGATATTTTTAATGTTTTCGTATGTATAGCAACATTTTATCCGTTTTGTTCTCAAGTTTCTATCTTTTTTTCTCTCTAACAGACAGGTAGGAGATGATAGGTCACTGCTTTTGCAGGATGAATATGACCAAATATTTGAGGTTCAAGTGAAGGAGAATGTAAGTCATGGCAAACTTATTTCTTTTCTTGCTGTAAACCTAGTACTAATATTAATATTCACCCTATTAATGAAATTGTTTCTGCAGAACAAGGAAGTTTGGTACTCAGTTTCAAGCTATGAGTCCTCCGCTGTTGACACTCTTATGCCAGGTTTTAACCTAACTGAAAATCCACTAAATGAAAAATAAACTGGCATGTGTTGTTGTACCTCTGAACGTTTCATTTTATTTTAGTATTTTGACTTGGCAACTATAGTTTTATGGTCAAGAGCTGCATATTGGTCTCCTTGGTGCAAAATGGGGTTTCAGCCTTGTTATGTTAGCTTTAAGTCAGAGAACTGGTTAAGTAAGTTTACTCTTTAGGTCCTTTTAACTGCATAATCATGAACATAGGATGTATGAAAGTGTGGCTTGATGGCTTTTGATAATTAATATTCTTATATATGATGAGATAAACTTAAAAGGTGGGGTCTCACTTCCAAATGATGGAATGTTATCTATAATTTCTTGGTAGATTACATTGTAGTTTTTATTATGTAATATGGTGAAATTTACTGTAAGTCTGAGTATGTGTCTTGTCAATCATCGTTAATCTGATTTACTGTTAAATTTTGGGTGGATGCATTCCTTACTCAAGTAAAACCAGTTAAGGAAGGGAAAACCGGGATGACAGTTAAACTTTTACTGAGTGGAACATCTGAAGATGCTCCAGTGAATGATAAACTTGAAAATCAAAGCCGTGAGAGGCGCACTGCAACAGAAATTCACGAAGATCCAGCTTGTTGTGGTGTTTCAACTTCTAGTCCAGTTACAGATGTTTCCCTAGAATCATGCCACAGTTCATTTGCTGCTCCAACTCCCACTGCAACAGACATTCACCATGATCCTGTTTGTTCTGGTATTTCAACTTATACTCCAGCTGCAGATGTTTCCCCAGAATCATGCCAGGGTTCATTTGCTGCTCCAACTCCTATAAACCCTCCACAAAATTTAGAATCGAATAAAAACTCCAGGGTAAAACAACCATATAAGATTTTCCTTGTGATATCAAGTAGACATTATTATAGGTGGATCCCTTTCTCTTTATTTATAAAAGTTTGAACACCTATAGAATTAGACACTAGTATTGAGGTTACTGATGCCTTAATATTATGCACTCAAGATGCTAGCCCCATACTTTTTTGTTTAATATCTTAGGCACTAGTGATACAAGTTTTTAATGGCTATCATAACCACATGTGTCTAGGTTAATGGTTTCCTACTTTAATGTTGTGTTTTAATCAGGAATTTAAGCTTAATCCCGGAGCAAAAGTTTTCTCTCCATCTTTTGCAACTGCCATATCAGCGGCTTCTCCTATGGTACCAACAATAGCAAATGTGTGTTACATGCCAGGCAACTCTCCTATGATAGCTGTTGCTGGTTCTCAGCCAGACATTGGGATGGGCACTTTTGCAGCTCATTCCTCTGCTCCTTCTAAGTTTGTCTCCTATGGTAATATAACACCTGCAACTGGTGTCGGTGTCACTCAATTTTCTCAACATGTAAGTTTCTTGGAGGCCCTTTTAGTTGGTTAGTCTTAAACTTTTTTAGTTACCATGATATATATGCTAGACTTTCTGTAGGACCACCTTCTCCCCAATTACCCCCTCTCCATTTTCCATCATTTCCATTTTTTTATATATTTCTCACTTTATAAATAAAATTCTTCCTCAAAGGACTTGAAAATTTACTGCATTTGGAACCTATCAAGCTATATATACATCAGATTTATGTTTAAACTTTAAACCATAAGCCAGTTCCTTTTATGAATTGCTGCCTGATTTCCGAGCATGACAAAAGGTTTTGGTGTAACTCTTTCCAAGTACTCTTGAGAGTTTTTAGTAATATTGATCAAGCATTTGTAGTTGAGATTATATTTACTAATGTCAATAATTTTTTGGGTCTAGATTGTTGGCCATATGGGGGGTAGAACTCAGCCATTGAGATATGCTGGTCAATATCATCCTGTTCAGGCTACACCACCAGCATTCTTGAATCCAAATTCGCAAGCAGTAAGCAAAAGAAGGAACCCTTTTTTCTTCCTCTGTTGCTGATGAAGTTGTTTTTAATGATTTACTAATCTCTGTCCGGGCCTTTCGTTCTCTAGGTCATGTTTGGACGACTGGGGCAGCTCGTTTGTGTGCCTGTTTCTCATGTAAGATTTGATACCTGCAAACTAATGATATGTCCTTGTTATCATTAAAGCACTCTCAAATGAGAGTTTCTAGTGTATAAATAAAAACATCGACAATTTGCTAGGCTCATTAGAGCAGTACTTGGCTAATCATTGTATTTGGGTAGCCAAGGAGAGAACTGGTTGTTTATTACCTCATATTACTAAATTGCATTTTGTTTCATATGAAGGATTTGGTTCAGGGTGCAGCAGCTCTCTCTCCAGTACCGGCCTGTTCTCTGACTGCGCACCATGTCCAATTTCCAAAACACCAAGGTATTTGCAAGAATAATTATCCATCGTCCTTGTTGAATAGAAAAGAAAATAGCCTGATCCTTGTATTGATCGCAGACGTTACCATAACCCAATGCCGATTCATTTTCAAGCCCTTTGTGATTGTGCAGGAAGTGCAACAGGCCAAGCATTTCAGCATTGTGTACCTCAACCTTTCATTGCCGGTGGACAGCAACCATTGGCGGTACCAAGCCACATTCTATTTCTACAGCCTCATTTCCCTGTTAATCATCCGATACAATTTCCAGGATCTAATGGTATATTTAGTGCAAAGCTTCCATAAAAGTTTGTTACTTCATTAGTATTACCCTTTTATTTCTGTTTGTTTTAAGATAATGATAGTTTTGGCCTCTATAAGTTTTCATTTTCGGTGAGCATCATCATTGAGTCAGCTTCATTTGTCGTTTCATCTTCATACAAGGGTTGTCCATTTTTCCTTTCTTTTATGGCTGATTGATGATGCAAGACTTGATACACAGGTGCTTGGGAAACACCTTTTGGACTATATATTTCAAGGAGTCAATGATAGTGTGTAAGGATTGAATCCTTTTTAAAAGGGATTGATTCGTTTTAACAAAGTTCAAAAATTTTGCCTAAAAAGATCGATCTTTCTTCTTTTTTTAAAAAAAATAAAAAAAATCATTTTTTTTATTGGAAATCAAATTTGAGACTTTACTGTTAAAAAAGGAATCAATCTTTGACCGAAGCATCAAACTTACTTGATACAAGTAGCATTTTAAAGTCGGTGTATTACATTAATCTATCCCCAATCACTTTCTACTTTTCACTAATCAAACTAATAAGGAAACATTTTGAGTATTTGTATGCTTCAACTTGAAGCTTTTGGGAAGAACCAAAAAGAACATACCTTGAAATGAGATGGATGATGGGTCAAGGTAAAAAAGAACATAATGCTTAAACTCAATGCTTCTCCGGATGCCAAAATTTTAACTTTGAGGAAGAAGAAGATAGAGATTAAGAGAGGATGTAAAATAAAATCATTATGCTCATTATTTCATAGTAATATTTTTTAGGGTAAGCTACGCATTTAGTACTTAAACTATAAGTTTTGTTTTGTTTTGGTACCTAAACTTTATTTGTTTCAAAATCATAATGTTTACTTTTTATTTCGTTCTCCGTTAAAAACTTATCGTACAACATGACACATTTTATGGGTAAATTATATCAATTATCACTCAACTATCTTTCATTCTTATTTTGGTCACTAAAGTTTAATTTTTTTTTAATTTAATTACTTAACTTTCAAATTTAATTTTTTATTTTAATTATATATTAATAAAATAATAATAAATGTTATGTCACAAAAATTATTAATAAAATAAAATAGAGTGATTAAAACATGAGCAATTTGAAAGTTGAGTAGTTAAATTGAATTTTTTTAACTTTAGTAACACAAATAGGAGTAGGCAGATAGTTAAGTGATGAATGATGTAATTTACCCATAAAAAATACCACATACATCAGTTCCATTTTTAACTGCGGGCACTAAAATAAAACAAAAAGTAAACATTAGGTATGATTTTAAAACAAATAAAAGTTTAGGTAGTAAAATGGAACAAAACTGATAATTTAAGTACTAAATATGTAATTTACCCTATTATTTAATTTGATCGAAATTTATATATACCTAATAAAAATTAACGAGAATGACATTTTTTTATCATTTTGATAAAAAATAATATTTATAGTAATATTTTATCTGGATCAGTTAAACCAAATATCAAAATAAGATTATGAAAAAATTATATAATTATATATAATTTTTATGCAAATCAAATATTGTCTAATTTGTTTATCTAATGATTGTTTTGGATTTTTTATTTGTTCAAACTTTTTAATTGCTGTTTGAAGCATATATTATGAAGGCTAGTTTTGACCTTATCATTTGTTTTTCTTAAGATGCCTCAGTCACAATCTTTGGTGGTTGAATGAATGGGAAATGTTTGAAAGGCAAACTTGATCAACCACGTATACTGCCCTTGTAATTTCCTATATAGTCAAATGGGCAAATTACATGACTCAGATTTCAATAAATTATTTTTTGTTAAAAATAACATATAAAATAATTAACAAAAATAAAATATAGGAAGACACAACAGTTTTAAGAAGACATAGGGAAAACATGACTTTTTCCATAAATTGCATGTAGTGTGAACGTCAATCTTATCATCGTATCAACTCAGAAGACATCGTGTCTTCCCGATATCTTCCCAAAATCACCATATGATTCAAGCGTCTTTCTCATGCACTATTCATACCATCATAGTTGAGAAAATTGCCTATATAATCCCCTAAGTTATTTTCAATTTCATTATTTGCTTCACAATTATTAGTTATTATGATTATATCGTCAGCATATTTGGGTCAGATTTTGTTAATAGTCCATATATTATGTATAAATTGTAGATTAGATCTTCTATTTTAATTTGATTGATTCTTGTCTGTAATTTTTTTGAATTTTAAAATTTCAATTATGACTTAATATAATTAGATTACATAATTTTTTTGAAAGAAATCTCTAATTTTATCCAAAATAGAAATATCTTAAATTATAATAAAGATTTAATATAATCATAAATTAAGCATATAATTAAGATAATTTAGTAATATTAAATTTAATTATAGAATTTGACTTTACAAATTAAATCTAAACCAAAAATAATTTACTCAAATTCTTTTTAAACGATCTGATTATGCCTTTACTTTATATATATATATAATTAAATTTTAAAAAAATTAAATATAAAGAACAAAAATAACATAGAATTATGGAAAAAAATGAAGTCTTTGAAACTCTGTGCAACAATACCCCATGTTCTTTCTGTACACAAACTGATTACCAAAATTTCTAAAAAGAAAAAACTTAATTTTCTTCTCTTCGTTTTCTGTCACTTTCCCAAGAAAGTCAATCAATGAATGAAAATATACACACCATGCAAGAAAACCTCTAAAGAAAGGAAACAGAATATGAAGAAAAGAAAATTTGTGGCTTCCAATTCTTTTGCACGATCATCATCATTCATCAGCTCAATTCACCTCTGGAATGCTTTGCAGTGTAGGCCTCCAGGACCGTTGATATGCTTGATCATATTGATGACTAACATTGATCAACTGTGCCAAAACCTGTTGCACCGATAACTCTTTTAAATCAACCCTACCCAATAACTCCACCAGCTGCTTCCTCGTTATCTTCACTTTCACTTCATGAGTTGCAGAAGAAGACGTTGTGCAACCAATTCTTTGATGGTTTTGGAGCAGTCCCGTCTCTTCTATGTTGTCATCGCCGCCGCCGCTGTCATCGTCATCGTTCGCGGCCGCGGAATCAATGTGGCCCAATCTTCGCCGCCCCATTGTGTCGATGATTGACAACGTAAACAATTTCCCATTTTTTGTTTATTTTTTTGGTTAATATTACGAACGGAGAGAGAGGAAGGAGTTGAATGTTGATGAGCAATGGGTTTTATATAAGAAGGGGACAAGGGTGAAAGAGTTAAACCCAAACTAAAATTATGCCACGTTGGTGACGTGTCGTATGACGTGGCTCGTGATATATTGGTTGATCTGATCATCACCAACTATTTTGGGTTGGTTTTATCTTCTAAACGGAAGGATTATGCAAAAAAAAATGATATTTCATCTGATTAATTTTAGGGTAAACTATATGTTTAATACTAAACTATTATTTTTGTTTTGTTTTAGTATCTATTTTTTATAATCATATCTAACATTTAATTTCAATTTCAATTTGATAACTCACAGTTAAAAATTTAATGGTGACGATGACGTGTCGTCATAAGGTAATATCATATCTTCTTGATTGAAATATTTTAAAAAATATCACATCATCAGTTTTATTAAATTTAAACTATGTGATACTAAATTAAAACCTAAACTAAACACTTAATATGATTTAAAAAATAAATACTAAAACATAACAAAAATATTAATTTATGCACTAAATGTGTATTACACGCTTAATTTTATAGGTTTAATGATTCGATGGTTAAGTTGGCTTAGCTATGGCTCGGCTTCTTCAGCTTTTGGTCAGGTTGAATTATAGTTGGACTAAATAAATTTGTAGATAAATTGTAAATTTCGTCACTTAATTTCTCTCTCATGTTATAGTTATTAAAATCTAATTTTTTAATTTTTATTGAATTTTCTATTATTTTTATTTTGATCACCCTTTTATTATGTATGGCTGGAAATATTTATTTTAAAAAAATAAATTTACCCTAAAACTTATTTTTTTTGAAAAAAATCATAATTCTATTTTTTTAATAATGAAATATATTTTCTGAATTTTAACTGTGAGGAGGTGGAGAAAGAGACAGTATGTCATATATCTTGATTTCATGATGATCGAATGATGGATAGTATAGATTAGTGTTTAGATTTTATGAGTTTATGATTTAAGGTTGAGTTTTATGAGTTTAAAGTGATTTAGGTAAAAATCTAAATTGATGGGGTGGTACAAGATAATGAGACGAGTTTTTCAATATCTTAAGTATTTAAAAATATGTCAAAGAATGGTAATCACAATAAAAGAAAAAAGAAAAACATAGATAATAAATAAATTCCATGACTATAAAAAGTAATATATATCAGCACATGTGGTTATTTTATATCCTTCTATTTGTTATTTCACTTGAATGATCAAAATAGAATTAAATTAAAAATTTAATAAGTAATGAAGAAAAAGTTGAATAATAGAATTTCTAATTTATGAAAAAGTTTAGCTGGTTTTATTATTTTTACATAGAGTTTATTATTTTTTACATAGAGCTTCCTAATAAGGTTAATTATTCAATTTATTTAATGACTTTTTCTTTTTAATTATAGTTGGACTAAATAAAAGGCTAAGCCAAGCCATAAGAATCTTGAAAAGGCTAGGCAATAGGTAGATGAAACCCAAGCTATGTGAACGCGGTTAGGGGTGGAATCTTGCGCCGTGTGAACGCATATTGTGTATAGGAATCTAACAAAAGGTACCATTATTTAATATTTTTATTTTGAAACCAAATATTTAATTTTTAAATAAAATAAATAACATTTGTTAAAGATAAACGTATTATATCAACTATTTTTTTGGGTTAATTAAGCCCTTTCAGTATTCCCCAACTATTGACTAAAAAATTAACCTTCTCCATTTTGTGGACCTAGAATTTAAAACTAAAAAAAGAAACTTTCCTTTTTATGAATATTAAAAAGATTAAGGACCCATTTTTTTCTAAAAAATTTATTTAACATGTTTTGCATGCATATAAAAATAATCATAATTATATTTTCAATTAAAAGCCCATTTTGAATCGGCAATTAAAAGAGTTTTATATTGAATTTAATTAACTTCAACTCTCTTCAAATGCATCTAAATATAATGAATCTGTCAATTAGATTAAGATAAATATCATTCACAGTTGTTTTTATTTTATTTGGTAACCCATTCAAAGCGTTATTGGTAATCTGATAGTTCCATTGTTAATGGATAGACTTACATACGTTGGGAGTTGGTCGTATTTTTAAAAATTTTAAATTTTTATTTTTATTAAATATTAAATTATATTTCTGAAATTTTATAATTTTTATCTCTAAATTTTTATATAAATTTTTAAAAACTTACATTTTAATATAAAATAATGTGTTTAGTCATGATTAAAGATGTATATTAACGTAATTCATCTTTGTTTTGGTTAATTTACCACGGAATATAGGATTTGATATATGAATAAAGTGGAATCACAAGAAATGATGGCTTCATCCTATCAAAACAAGTAATGGTTAGGACAAAATGGATAATGAACAATGGAAAATACTGAATAAGCATGTTCCCTGGGGAAAATAATGTTGTGAAAACGAAACAAGACCAAGAACTTTAATAATCTTGTTGTTGACGATTTTATATTTTAATTGGATATAAATTATTAAGTTAATTCAAAGTCAGCTATTTTTTATGTACACGTACGTACGTATGCTGGGACGAAATAAAAACTTTATGTATGGATATCTAAATAAAATTATCAGATTCTAAAGGAGTTAAATTTAAAACAAAATATTTTAAAATATTAAAATTAAATAATTAATTTTTAGAAGAGACTAAAAATGTAATTTTCTTATTTGGATTCTATTATTAATATTTGAAAGGGTCAAAAACAATTTAAGGAGGCCAATTCTCCTCACATATATATTATTCTATGATACATAAAAAATAATTTCACAAGTGGTATTAAGATGATGATAAGTGTCATAATTATTCAATTTTAAAATTTTAGAGTAAATTATAAAATCCATCTCTCAAAGTTCTTCTCACTCTTATTTTGGTCACTAAAGTTTTTAAAAAAATTAATTTACTCACTGAACTTTTGATTTACTTCTATTTTGGTCACTCCATCGTAAATACTTAACGATGCTATGACTGGATATTTTTCTTTTAAAAATTATGAAATACTCCCACAACTTTATATAATTATTTTGTAAAAAAAAACCCTAGTTTCGAATTCCCTTTGATTTATCAATGATAAGCATCTTCTTCCAAATCCCAATGATAGGAAGATGAATGATGAAACGAGCTGTATCTCTTGATCCCATGATGGATGTTGGATATTATAGATCAGAGTAGTTTGTGATTATATGAATTTTAATTTTGGAATTGAGTTTTATGAGTTTTAAAGTGATTTAGGTTAAGTGTAAATTGATAGAGTGGTAGGAGACAATGAGATGAGTTCGTCTATACGATAAGACGATATCATGAATGATTGAAGAATACATCGAAGAAAATAGCTAATAATTTTAAAACATTTATCATCATCTTAATCCAACTTGTGAAATTATTATTTTTCACTAGTAATATATCAAATAATAATTCTCTATAGATTTTATTCCCTTCTCAATTTTAGAGGGGGGGGGGGAAGACACAAAGAGCTGCCTTCACAATTCTCGCCTATACGCTGTCGTCGTGTTTCACCTACTTGATGGGTAAATTTAACAAACCCTAGTTCTTCACAATTGGCGCCTATTTTGCATGGCTGTGATAATTTGCATCCACGATAACGTCTTTTATTCCGGCGGTGGAAAATGGGAGTCAACTTTGCTTAGTGCTGTTAAAAAGCAACAATGGCGATATGTATCAACTAATTCATGCCCTGGACACACACAATTGTTAGAAACTCATAGGTTCGTTACTTTTAAAAGTTTTGATTTTTCCCAATGAAGCCTTTCTAATAACAAAGGCTGAGGTCTTAGTATTTTCATATTTAAATTCGAATCTCAGTTAATATCGTATTATATGTAGATTTTCTCTATATTTTTTATTGTTATTTTGATACACTGTTTGAGACTTGTAGAAATAGAGCTATGATTAAATATTAAGAATGATATATATGTGTTATAAGACTTAAAAATTATAATTTAAATTATAAAAAAATAATTATAAAACTAAAAGATGGATATTTAATAAATATATTAAATCGGAATAGATTTCATCTAAATCAAAATTAATTAAAAAATCTACTTGTCATATTTCAATACTAAATAAGGTCATGGTACCAAAATATACCAGTTTGAAACAAAAGAATTTAAGAAACGATTGAAAAGAAACTGTCGATCCAGCAAAATTTGCGGAAATGAAATATGTTAAGGCGTCTTGTTTTTTTATTTCTATTTGGTGATTGTGAAAGAATAGAAATGATATGGTGTTCGCAGACAAGGGAACAATCCCAAGTGAGGTGGCGAAGTATGCTCATAAGTTGGCAAGGGATAAAAGATTGCAATGGAGGCAAAATATAGACAAATAACAAAGGAACCGCAGGTGGATGAAACCTCTAGAAGGTGAGTAGATCCTAATTAAAAACTGATGAAGCGTGCAAAGCATCCTCTGGAATAGTATCGGGAGGGGAGGAGGAGTTATCGGCGATGAAAATGACATGTGGATGAACGGTTTTATTATGAGAATGGGAAGAACAAATAATTTGTTTGCTGAATTGTGGGGAGTAACACGAGGTTTAATTTTAGTTAAATCTTTAGGCGCGACAAAACTTGCCGATGTGAAGTGGGTGGTCGATATGACAAGCAAACAGAGTAACAATTAGGAAACGTTCTAGTGAACGACTGTAACAAGCTTCTGAAAGAAGGTTGGGTGAACGAGATAAGACATATTTGACGAGAAGACAATAAATGTGCTGATTGATCGGTTAATATGACACTCAAACAAAAAGAACATAACAATCTTGATGGATCCTCTAGACGAATTAATCTTTTTGATACCGACTGATGTCAGAGGAGATGGAACATGAAGAATATAATTTGTAATTGCTAGTCTCCATGTACCAAAAAAGGCATTCCAATACTGGATTTTCAAATAGAAAAACAAATGAAATCTAATCAATTTTGGAACTCTTTTGCAATAAAGAAAAGTCGGAAACAATA